CTGTGTTTTCTCCACTGCTCTTTCCATGCTTCTGAATAAGGATAGCCTAAAAGCAAACAAGAAGCGCTCATTTCCTCTCACACTTGACTTCGTATGCTTTTTCTGCTGGAGAGATTCGAGGCAAGTGTGTGCGTCGTTCTACCATGTTATACATAAAAATCAAGGCAGATGCTTGCTTGTGCAGGTGAAAGCACAGACAGAACATGAAATAAAAAAGGCAAAAAACCATTACATCTTCTGCAAGGTCAACTTCTAACATTCGCTGCGATGTTCATGAACAGAGGATGATAGGAAATGGAACTAACATTCATTGTAATAAATTTTTGGTTTGCGTGCACAGAAGTCATGCTAATCATACATTTTTACAAAAAAATAGACCACAGCATCCGGGAAATTAACTTATTTGGTTAACTTGGGGACATTAGAGGAATCTATACGTTGAACGAAACTTCCGGTAATAGTCGAAAGCAGTTTCCGAAGGATCTCTGAAACATGTGGCACTTCTAAGGGAATCTAGATGGACAGTTGACGAAGCCGGAAGACATTTCGTGGAGAAGTCGGATGAAACTTCTGATAAAAGTTACAAGTTATAAATTACGGGGATGTCAGAAGACACTTCCAAAGGACGGAGGATTCTTGTAGGATCGTTGGAAGAAACTTCCGAATTAAATTGAAACTTCTGAACAAAGTTGTATGAAACTATCGTGCGAAGTCAGAAAAAGCTTCGGAGTGAACCCGGAAGAAACTTCCGGGAAAATTAAATGAACCTCTCCAGAAAATCCGGAAGAAACTTCCAGAGGAAGCCGGTGGGAGCGACAAACATACTTTTGAATATAAAAACCAATAAATGATCCATAAAATATTGAAAAACGTTTCATAAAAAACATCCAAATGATCCATAAAACATCGGAGAAAATCCTTCAAAAAAGTGTGAATGATCCATAAAAAATATCAATATTATCCATATTTTATGTAAAATTTAGAAACACAATTGTAAAAATGTACCGCAAAATTTCTAAAGAATGAGGATTGAAATTGTACGAGTTACCCATAAACATATTGCAATTGCCATAACACATTCAGCAGTGAACCTTGAAGTAAAGAAAGTGATCCATAGAAATTCAAGTTTGTGCACTTAAAAAACTAATATAAACCGATCTTAATGCTTATAATAAAACCTATTTCAGCTTCAAGCTGTCCAAAACGAGACTGCTCTGAGGAAGTTGCTTTCATTAAACCGAACATTCTTGAAGAACAACATCGGATATAACCTCAAAATGTCAGAGGAATCAACACCACCGTTGAGCGAAGAACAGAACAGCGATCGAAACTGTACGCTTTGTGAAGGCCATGATCACGTAGATGATATGGTCCAGTGTGATGTCTACGATTTCTGGACCCATTATAGTTGTGCTGGTAAGACAACAGCTGAAAAGAATTTTCCGTAGACGTGCTCGAAGTGCACAAATATGCTGAAGGTGCCGAAAGGAACCAAGAAGTCTGTCCCAAAGAAACCACCTAGCAGAAAGAATAGTGCGAGGAGTGATGCCGGATCCGAATCTGGAAAAGGAAGTATCAATGAGATCAGCCTGGAGGAATCCCTAGACCTGTTGCAGCAGGAGAAAAGCGCAAAAGAGAAAACGCTGGAGGAAGAGAAATTCCTCCATGAAAAGCGATAGGAGCCTAAGTGGATGATTTTTCAAACCGATAGTTATCTTCCGTCACTCTTTCAACAAAGATTTGGCTAGATTTAGGATTGAGGGATTCAATTATTATTTGGCAATCATACTTTTGAATATCAAAACCAGGCAATGATCCATAACAAATTTATATACGATCCTTAAAAAACACCCAAATGATTCATAAAACCCCAGTGAAAATCCCTTGAAATGTGCGAATGATCCATAAAAATATCAATATGATTCATATTTTCAGTCAAATTTAGCAACACAATTCAAGACCAACAATTGAAATGGCCTTAACTCCACTTTGTAAACAAACCTGGTAAGGCCATTTTCTCGCGAACCGAAATCTTTATTCGCAAACCACAATCGGGTAGAGGAAAATTTTCCCTACCTGTTCATTATGTTGTTTTGCCTCTTCGGACTTCGGTTCGCGAGAAAACGGCCTTACAAGGTTTGTTTACAAAATGAAGTTAAGGCCATTTTAATTATTGGTCTTGAATTGTAAAAATATACCGCTAAATATCTAATGAATGAGCATTAAAATTGTAAGAAATACCCATACACATATTGCAAATGATCCATAAAACATTCAGCAATGAACCTAAAACTAATGAAAAAGATCCATAGAAACTCAAGTTTGTGCTCATGAAAATGTTTGATGTTTGAAAAATTATAGCTCAGCTATTTATTGATAAACTTCAAATCTATGGGCGCTACTTGAAACTTAAGACTAAGACTAGATAAATTGCTGAGTTATGATTTTTCAAGCATTACCAATTTTCCGTTACACATTTTACCGGTTGCATCGTGTTTGGAGTGTGAAGAAGCATTCTAGGGAATATTGTTTAGAAGCTTTCTTTAACGGGTGTTCAGTAAAAAATGAGATTGATTTCAGTGCCGCCCAGCACTCTTGTGAGAGCATCCCCGAGCAAAGTCTGAGATCAAATGGGAATCTAAATTTGATGTTGTGATTTCGCTGATAATGATAACTCAGGTTGCTGTCGTTTTGGTCGTTTTAACGGTTAAAATATCAAAATTGAGAGCAAAAAAATCTTCCTGTGACAAACATTGAAAACTATTTCTGCTATCAGTGAGAGCTAACTGAAAACTTAACTTGATTATGCTAAGGCAATGAAATCAAACCCGCAACAACATATTTTTGAAAAGCAAATGTACAGCAAACTTAAAACAACATTTGGTATCAAATTTGTGAATTGCAAAACTGAAATCAAATTATGATTTCAGTTTGATGTTGAAATCAAAACTTGACTTCAATTTGCTGTCATTTTGATACTGGACTTTGCTCGGGCAGGGTCCCTGCTCCAATATTCATTGACGTTTTTTTGAAGAATAAACATTATGTTTTTAATAAAAAAAAATACTGAATTCGTTAGCTATATAACTGAAAAAAAACTCTCATTTTTTATTGCACACCCGTTAGATGCTTATTCTAGCTGCTCGTCCATTGCTCCGCTCTTCTGACAAAAAAAAACACGGGCGGAACAGTAAAACCATAGAGGTAACTCTAAGACAAGTAGGTCCCAAAGAAACGTGCTCAACTTTTTGGCTCACCTCTGGTACTATCTTCGGTCCCAAGCTTGTCGAATCACCCCTCGAAACATAGGAAAAACCAATAACCCCTCATTTTATCTGTCAAACTTTCTTAGCGAATCAAAACAAACATTGCGTAGTACTAGAATTTCGACTAGAATAGGTTACGTTAATCGTTTGCTTGGGACCAATAGGCTACTAAAGTGGTGAGCCAATTTAAAATCGTTAGTTTCATATTGATTGTTGGTAAAACAGAGTAGCTACGCAGTGCACGGATGGATTTGAGTTCACTCACTCGACAAAAAGTGACACAACAGCGGGGCTTTGTTTACTAAAAATGAACACATGAATAATGCTCGCGTAACATTTGAAAAGGGCATATCAACTTTCGTAAATAATTTGCTAGGTCCTTTTCACGAGAACCGAAGTACGCCCACGCAAACCAAGATCACTATCGGGAAGGGGAGAATTTCCTCTGCCCGATGGTGTTGTTAGTTTGTGTGAGCGTATTCGGTTCGCGCGAAAAAGGCTTAACAAGTTTTGTGTACATAAGTTGATAGACCCGTTTCAAATGTTACGTGAGTATTATTCATGTGTTCATTTTTAGTAAACAGGGCCCCACTATTGTGTCACTTTTTGTCGAGTGAGTGAACTCAAATCCATCCGTGCACTCGTCTATGGAGCAATTTTCCAAGGTTCATAAATTATGGATCATATTGATATTTTTTAAGGATCATTCACACTTTTTAAGAGATTTCCTGCGATGTTTTTAAATATTTTATGGATCGTTTTATCAATTCTAAAGGTGCAGACTTAGGGCTGCCGGTGGGAACTTCCAGGGCAAGGCGTCAACGATTTCCAGAAGAAGTTGGAAGAGATTTCCTGGAAAAGTCGGAAGGAATTCCAGGGTAAACTCTGAAAAAAATATCCCGTAGACACTGGAAGACACTTCCAAAGAATGAAATAAGTAGTTCGGGTAAGTCGGAAGAAAGTTCCAGGAGACGTCAGAAGAGTCTTCCGTGGGATATCGTAAGGAACCTCTGTATGAGATATAGTAGGATACAATTTCCACTTGCGGAGATAACTAGTAGAACCTAATGAGTTTTAAGATACTTCCAACAAATGAAGGAAGAATCTTCCTTCTATGAGATGTTGGAAGAAACTTTCGGGCAAAGTTTGACGAATTCTATCCGGTAACCAGATAAACATATTTTCCGATTGCCGGGAATTCCCGAGAAGAGCCACCAACTGCTTCCGATTCCTGGGTATCCAAAAATGGCCGGGAAATGGAAATACTACTGACCATAGAGCAGTTTCAGGCCAAATTGCAAAAAAAAAATGACGCGACCTTCCCCGATTTTAATAGGGGAAATGTCAGCTTCGGCAACACCTTAGCCTATTATCGTCATGGGGTGAAAAAAAACTCTTAGAGCACTTAAATTTGGTCAATAGATGCTCTGAAACACAATGCATCTACATGCCAAAATTTAGCTTTCAAGGACACTGTTAACCCCCATGACGTGATAGGTGAAGGTATTGCGGAAGCCGTCATTTTCCCTAATTGTTTGTTAGGGCATTCATTCACATTTTTGCAACAAAATGGCCATTTTGGATATGGTGATTTTTTTTTTTTTTCAAAATGACGTTTAAATTATGTTAGACCAGTTTCATATTTTTATAATTAATTCTCCTGATGGAATTGTTTGATGGCAATGGAAATTTCCCAAAAAATAAACAATAAAAAAACAGACACTCTTAACTCACATCGGTTCCAACCGCACAAAGCACAACAAATATCAAAACTTTGCTCATAGCCACTTGTCACTTGGCCGTGTGTTCCGCTCTCTGTTCTCCGATGAATACTAAATCACTGTCGGATGGCTTATTTAGACATACTAAGCGCATCCATCAGGGGACCATATCATTTATAACAGGGAAATGAAAATTTCATCTTGATTGCTTACGACACCTAACCGGAAGCCAATGGGACACATTATACGGCGGTGTGGCTCATGTGTTCGCTATCGGTCTCAACCGGTGATAAGATCCATTTGGCAGAATTTTACCTTTCCGTTGCATGTCCGGAGCCAATAGCTTGTGTGTGTTCGAACAAGTGCAGTGCTACAATTACGCAACTTCATTGGACGCTGATTGGTTTGTTGATAATTCAACAATCAAAGGTTCTGTATCATTTTTTTTTAATTCAATGTTACAAATTTCCATTGGAATGTTGTGGTAAATGCTAAGACTAACTGCCTCAATTGTTTTCTGTTCACACATTAATAAGGCTCTCTACCGAATGTCAAGATTCCTGACTTCCAAGGGGTAACCCGGAGCAGCTTCATCACTATAATATATTGAAGCCTGAAGCTTAACTGAATCATCTCCGCAAACTAATCATTGTAATTGCCACCAATTTAACTGAACAATAGGGTGGTCTAAATATACTTTAGATGATAATTTTGGACGGAACAATAAACACACCTATAAAGTTTTGATTCTCTAAGGATTTTCGATTAAAACGACCACTTTATATTTCATTCATATATTTATGGGCCACACTTCTGAACATCCTTCAATTTCAAGACGTTATGGGTGACAAGATCAATTGTGGATCATTGAATAAATTATTCTTTCTCAGTCAATCAACAAAGGCTTTCATCTGTGTATGAATCCAAGATTTTATGCACCTTTGTGTTCATTTTCCGCATCGCTGGCCAATTGAGCGATGACAATAATTGAAAGGTTGTTGACAAACTGCTGAACTCCACTCTGCCATTTATCGGCTATGCAATCTCGACACCCATTGAGGTGTAATGAAAATATAACATGCATCTCGTAAACTGCACTGCGCATATCGAGACCCGGAGATGACGGCAATGAACCTGAGGTTTGTTTTTTTAATGCTTCCGTGGGGGTTGCACGGAATAAGTGGATCCCAAAGCAGTAGTCATCAAAGCTGCGCTTCGTGGGTTATATGCGAATGCGATCCTCCAGATTGATAGCTGCGCCCTGTAGATCAGTGTAAATAACTGAACTGTAAATAATGTGGATAATCTTTGACTTTTTTTCCCTGTTCGGGACCTAACACTACTGCGACCAGTAAATTGATCTATTATAGTATATCCCGTGTCCTTAGTTTAGTGCATGTCGTATTACTCCATCACTATTGACAAATGATGAAGTATTCGATTTTTTTTACAGTTGCCACTCTTGCATTTATCGCAAGGATCCAATTCTAATTGAAAGGTCCAGCTATTTATACCCTTCGGAGTGTTGAAACACCCTCCAAAGGCGCACCCCTTTGTCAGTCAAATTGGATTTCCTAGCAACAAAATTAAGGTATGACACCGATAATGGCCAGGCATCAGAACCCTAGTATTAACCACTTCAAACTAGGGAACAACGAATAGAAGATTAGGAATCACATAGATGAAGACAACTAACTCATTTTTTTTTCCTTGTTTCAAGATCATTCTCGGTAGACAAAACCGAGTCTTGTCACTATCAACAAGGCATAAAAAGTAACAAGGACTAAGATGTGTTCCTTGGATTACTGAAATATACTGTTCCCCTAGTTTGAAGTAGTCAGGACTAGGATAGTTTGAAGTAGTCTGGACTAGGAGTAGTCAGGACTAGGATCACCTTTCCGTGGTACGTTACATCCCGTAACGTACCACGAAAAGGTGATCTACCCACGTTACGGGGCTTTGACTTAAAGACATCATATCAAAAGACTGACAACTTTGCCAAAATTCAAGCGACAGACACAAACCTTTCCTCTGAGGTAGTAATCTTTGATATCAAATTCGTTCAAAGCATTTACATTTGAGCAACAGATAATGCGATTGTGCCTGTCTCATAGCGGTCACATGAGAAATGGAAGAGTTGCCAGTCTTCTTGATATGTTGTCTTCGCTTAAAGGTTATTTTAAAACCAAACAACATTTCTAGACGTTATCTTCACTGATTTTTCTTTCATAAATAACAAGAGTGCAAACACATTTCCTGCTGCGTTTGTCCTTTAAGATGAAGCCTCAGATAGCCTAGTCAGTAAAGGCACGGTTGAACCAAGCCGGAGGATGCGGGTACGATTCCCGGTCCGATCGAGGAAATCATTCGGATTGGAAATTTTCTCGACTTCTCTGGGCATAGAGTATCATTGTGTTTGCCAAACAATATCAAATTCCTACATTGGTTGGCATAGGAAGCTCTCAATTAATAACTGCGAAAGTGCATCTAGAACACTAACCTGACAGCCGGCAAAACGCTCGCTACAGAAGCTGCAGGGCTGGTAGCGATCTATGCTGTCAAAAAAATTATTTTAGTGACTATGTTGAAGAAATAAGTGACTTATAGTAGTAAAGCAAACTGATTTAAAAGTTACTTAAGTTTCACACCAAATAAAAGATTGATTACTAAGAACCATTCAATAAGATTCTCAGCGATGAATTAGCCCGTGGCTAAAATCTGCTTAATAAAGATTAAAAAAAAAATCAACTAGTATCTCATAACCACAAATATGAACCGTTAGAGTAAAAGATCAATAGAAAGTTTATGACAAACCCACGGTATTAGCCAGGGTGTCTACTACCTGAAAAATGAGGAAACCCGGAATCCTAGGGAATTTTATTTTTCCTGCAAATATCAAAGTATCAGAGAATATTTTAAAAAAAATGTTATAGAATATGCATTTCCCACAAATTTTAAATTTGAACAAGATGGACTAAACAATTGTAATACTCCAAGAAAATTTCAAACATCTGGAGTAAAATTACTAAACGGTTATAAAGGTTCATTGAATTTTACTATAATTTCTACGGACCTCATACTGGGACTTCTGGGAATCATTGAAAAAAGCAACAAGTGCAATCTGCTTTCAAGGTATTTCTGAGAAAATTTAGATTCCATTTGAAGCCTGAGATAGTTGTGGGTAGAATTTCAAGAAAACCCTGATTTGAATTTAAAGTAATTTTTAAGGAAACTCAAAGGAACTACTGGGGAGCGGAACTCCTGAAAACTTCAGAAGAAAATTCCTGCGCATTCTGAAGATAATTTCATGAAATTCGTGGTATCGAATCCGGAGAATAAGTCATTGATTTTTTTTTAGAGATTACTTAGGGAGTGGTGTGGATGCTTACAAGAGATATCCATAGGAATTCGAAAAAGAATTCCAGGAGAGTTTTCTAACTAAATTATGAGGAGAAAACAAAGAAATTTGTGAAGAGAAATTCTTAGAGTAGAATTCCAAGGATCCAAAGGTGAGATTCAAAAAGAAATCTGAAATGAGTTCAATGAACATTCTGAGAATTTTGCAAACCGTTACTTACTCAGGAGAATTTTAAGGTAACTCTAAGGAAAATTTAATTAAAATTTAGTTCAGAGTATAGTTCGTAATGTTGAGGAATATTGCAATGGAATTGCGAAAAACATTCAAAGCATATTCTGTTGATATTATTTAGAGAATTCAGAGAATGCAAAGCAAATGCTAAGGAGATCTTCAAGTGAATTTTCAGACAAATCTTCGTTGAATATGGAATGGACTATTATGTGGTCCTTAGAACTACTTGCAAGTTCCTTAAATTGTGCTGAGGCTAATTAACCTACCTAACGATCATGGATTTTTTTTCCTTGATTTGTTTTCCGTGCTGAGCACCAATGCTACCGACGCCAGGGAGGCAGCTCCCACATCTGGAGCCTACTTATCGACCCATCAACTCATGTCATGAACCGAGGACCAACGGCTTTACTTCCCGTGATCAGATATGTTATGCCTCAGAACATCCCGGCGGCGCCGACTGGGATTGAACCCAGGCCTGCTGGGGTGAGAGGTAATCACGCTTACCACAACACCACCAGCACCGCTATCATGGATCTTCTCTAAAGTTTTTACAATTCTCTGTAGTTCTCGAAACTTCTATCAAATTGATGTAATTTCTCTAATGTTAACAGAACTGCGCTGATGTTCTCTGTTCTTTCCTGACCAGTTTTGTAAGCGTTTACGGTAGTCGACACATTTTGTGTGATAATTGACTGCCTTTGCCTCCGACACTTGCAAAACAAGCTATCATAGAACAGTACTAAACCAAAATGTCATATGACAGGCTCTGTAATACGACACTGTCGCTGAAGATTGCCACGATTACATGTATTTTAGTTTTTTCTCATAATAAGAGATGCTGCTGTTGTGCTTGAGTGAATTCTGAAAAAATAAAACCAAGCAATGATGTCCTAGTACTAACATTTCTAATCAGAAATGGTTTAATTTACACCAAATTGAGGAATTAGAATGAAATCACACATGTCATATGATAGTTATTTGATAATTTTCTTTTTGCTCGAATGTTATTCTACCGTTTGTGTTGTGTGAGAGAGACGGCTTCTTAAAATGTCCCACTAATTTTCTGAAACTAATGGAGCTGAACTCCCCCTAAAATTCCCCAATTTTCAATGAAAGTTCCTGTAGTTATCGGATCTTCCCGTTCCAAAGACTTCTGTGAAGTTCTCGAATTGTTAATGGAAATCTCTGCACTTCTGTAATTCTTTATCGTCTGCGAACCAATGTGCTGTCCTCCGATGGAATGAAAATCGACTGACTACGCCGCCCCTGTAAACGGAGTCCCAGCGTGATGGTTCCGTGGTCGTTTTATGTTCGATTCGCCATGAGCCTGCAACTTGGAGAAATTTGCTGCTTGGGGAACCTCTAATCTAGACTTTGTAGCTTTCCGCTTGACAGTTAATATCATTAATATTTATAATAAAAGCTATGATAACTACCTATCTTTACACCAAATATTACTTCAGATCAAGTTGTACTTCCCCTAGTTTAATACATTTTAATAACGCTCATGAAACTTTGCCTTAAGCTGCTAATTTTCCCTAAACTTAACTGGACATCCTTGACATTTTTTATTCTTACCTGGAGTGTTTCTGTTAACATTGATTTGATTTTCGGTAGATCTTGTTTTCCGTACTGAGTATCAATGCTACTGACACCAGGGAGGCAGCTCCCACAACTAGACCCTACCTTTCGACCCATCAACTCATGGACCGAAGTTCTCTAAATTAGTTCAATGTTCCGGGAAACTTTCTGATATATATTCATATTTCCCTGACACTTCTGAATGTTTTGCGTCAATCATAGAATTCTCGGAATATCCCATAATTCCCCATAACTCTTTATAAGTCACTGTAAATATTCTTTACGAAGTGTTCTGAAGTGCTCGGAAATTCGTTGAACATCATGAAACTAAAAAAAAATATCCAAATTTCTTTGAAGCTCTCTGGAATTTCTTGAACATATCGGTGCATAATGAAAGTTCTCACATTTTTTAATTATTGGAACCCCATTGATTATCTCTAAATGATTAAGCGAAATAATTGCAATTTTTTACTTCTTGAAATTTCTATGATAGGGGGCGACCCCGGCGTAGTGGTTAGCATCCATACCTCTCACGCCAAAGTCACGAGTTCAAATCTCACCCCCGGACAAGTCACGAATGACCCAAGAGCGTTAAAATGACTATAATAAAAAAAAAAAAAATTCTATGATAAAATACTATCACATTTTCCGGATGTTCATATAATTTTTATTGCGATACATAAATTCTCTCCCAGCTTTGCTGAAGTTTCAGGAAATTCCCTGAGTTTCGAAAAACTTTTTAAGGTTTATTCAATTCCCTTGAAATAAATGGAATTTTCGTAAACACATTTTAACTTCCCTGAACTTCTCTGGACTTTTGTGAAGATTCTGAAATATTTCTGAAGTTTTCATAAGTTCTCTGAAGGTGTCGAAACATCTTCGGAACATCTTAAGGGTTCTCAATTTTTTTCCAGCATATCATGGAACTATCCTGAATTTTTGGCAGTTTGTTTATGAAGCCTCACTGAGATTCTCTATATTTCCTTTCATTCCTCAGAACTTCTGTAAGGTTCCTCCACTTATTGTGAAGTAAATGGAGCTTCACTGGTGATATCTTACATTTCATAAAGCTAATTACAAACTTGAAATAAATCATTTAATTTGTTTCCTTAATTCTCTAATTTCCTAATTAAATTGGTAATTAATTAAACAAAGTTCCTCTACCAAATTGTGGATACGTGTTATTTCGTATAAAATCGTTATTTTATTATGTTATTGATTGCCTGTTCCGCCTGTTTCTCAGAAGAACCATAACCTAACTTAAGGACTTTTTTTACTTTAAATTATGTTTGTTTCTTGTATTTGTGTGGCTTATACATTTCCATTCTCAAGGGACACAGACATCTTTTCATCTTTAATTCATTTAAATTTTTTTATAATTCTTACTTAAGTTCCTAGTCCTACACCCAACCGGAGGATGTAAGATTCGCTTACAATGCAGTTCAATGCAAGAAAATGTAGAAAGACAAATTTAGAGTGTATTAGTGAGTGAAATTAATCACGTCGAAAAAAAAGCGCCGACTGGGGAACTCGAACCACGAACGTTGCGATTATCAAACCTTTGCCTTCTCCACTGATCCCTCCA